CAGGAGGTCAGGACTGCAGGACCCACGCACAGTGCAAAGGAAAGCCCAAAGACGTCACTTATCCGAATGAACCCAAAGCTGCCTCTGGTTTGTTCTCAGGTGGGACCTCAGCAGAAAAAGCTTCTCCCATGTAGTCTTGAATTTGGTGAAGTTAGAAAGACGAGCAGAGCAAGTGTCAGTGAGAGGCAAGGCCAGTCCTGCCATTAGGCAGGGTGGCTCCAGGGCCATGTCTTTGACCTAGTGTCCCTTGTTCTGGAGCCACAAGTGAGTACTGTATTCTCCATTCATTTAAACAACATGCATGTCCTTGCAGATGTATAAGGGAGACAAACACCTGTAGAATCCAGGAGAGTCTGCAGGTTCCTGTGCCAAGGGCGACGACTGCTTTGCCTCCACTCTACTGGGCTCGAGTTTTCGGGCTGCAGCCTGGGCACCCGCCTCACTAGCAAGCTGCAGGCTTGTGAGGACCTCAGGGATAGATTCACGGCCTCTTCTTTGTCGTTCTCCTACCACAAACAGAAATTTGCAAACACCCTCACTAGCTTCTGAGTGCCTTTAGGACAAAAGTCACCTTCTATTCCTCTTTGCACAGGAGCACACCTCCCCACAGAGCTGTGAGCTCAAGGAAGATCATCGTTAAATACTGCTGAGTTCCAGCCCATTGGCCTGTTTGTTTGGCTTGCCTGCTACTCAAAAAAGACAAGATCCCACTTAAAAATCCAGCTTCCCATCCCTTCTCAAAAAAATCTAAGAGCAATCATGCAGAGCCCACTCACCCGAGCAGGAAGCGAGTTCTCAGAGTCCTCTCGACATCTTATCAATAAAACTCATAGGCATAATTCAACTCTCCAGCACAGGGGCTGTCTAAAAAATGGGGTTGCATGATTTGGCCTTAAATGTCTTCATGTTACTCCCTGAAGGTCTTAGAATTCTGGAGTGGTGGCTCCCCTCTGCTGATTGGCCTCCGGGAGGTCAGTTTCAGGACTGGGTGTGGGTTCTCACTCTCCAGCACCACCCTCTTGCCAGCCGTAGGCCAGGGCTGACTGTGCACCTGCTCCAAGTCCAGCTGGAGGTGCCTTCGAGGACACATGAATGAGCTCAGGACCACATGGGCATCTCATGAAATCACAGCTTCACACTTAGCAGGCCCGGGCAGGCCTGAGACTCTGCATCCCTAACGAGCTCCCAGATGGGTGTGGGGCTGCTGGTCACGGACTTCACCTTAAAGTCAGAATGATGAAACTCACGCCTTTTCCTCACTGAAGCTCACGGAGAAACCAGGACTTGAAAGGAGACACACAGAAGAAGAATTCCTAGCAGGGGACAGTCACACTCAAGGCCAGTGGGGCTCCTCCCCCAGGTGTTCTCATTTGGGGCTCACACACAGAGCCTTGTGGATGACCCCGGGGTGAGAAGAACATAGGGGAAGGCTTGGGCTGGGCTAGGCTAGGCGGGGGCTGCACTGGCCGCCAGACCTGTGGCCCACAGGAGGAATTGTGGAGATGGGGCTCCAGGCATTGCTCGCTAGTCAGCAGGCGCTGCACAGTTGCTCTTCAGGTTTTTCGAGAATGGATGGGAAGCTGGATTTTTATGTGAAGTCTTGTCTTCTCTGAGTAGTAGGCAAGCCAAACAAAACAAGCCAATGACCTGCTCAGGTCCCGGGGCCACCCTTACAGCTGAGAGTATTTGAAAAGTTTTGAGCATCAGCGGCTGTGTTTGTGTCTGTCACCAGACCCACAGAGTGTCTGCCCGAGACCCAGTGCACACACGAAGGCTCAGGAGACACAGCAGCCAAAGGGGCCGGCATGGGGAGGCTGAGACCAGGAGTGTCCCAGGCATGGGGACAGGGAACGGGGTCCTAGATGCAGGGTCCTTTTTCCTACATTTGAAAACCTCCCATCCCTGTGACTTCCATTCACACAGGGCCAGCTGAGCTGTGACTCACGGCCCCAAGCAGACAAAGTGATTCCTGGTAAATCACAGAAAGGTGAGATGAGGCTGTGCACTTGACTTTAACGAAAGAATGCGTTCGGCCTTACAAGTGATAGAAGTTTGACAGTTCAGAATGTATCCCATTTCCTGTCTGAGTGACAAAGGACAAGTACATAGATTGTTTTCCAGAATTAGATTTTTTAAGGTGCACAATTCAGATTCCTGAATGACTGCAGTGCGTAAGTCACTGAAACAGACCACACTCTAGCATTGTCCTCCAAAGCCCTGGAAGAGGATCAGACTAGAGGTGTAACTAGAATATGTAAAATACAGTCACAGTTGTTATTCATTTCCCCCGCTACCGTAAATACTATGCTTTGGTGCTACAGAAATGCTCTGTGAACAGACGCCTTCTACTAGAGCCAGAGAAAACGATACTGAGGATCTGCTCACATAAAATCTGCAGGGGTTGAATGTCTGGTTGGAATTGCGGGCTGGGGGGTCTATGAAGAAAGAGATGGCTACATTTAACACCACTCATCATTTAACACCATGATGGCTACATTTAACACCATGTTGGCTACATTTAACACCATTGTGGCTACATTTAACACCATGGTGGCCACATTTAACACCATGGTGGCCACATTTAACACCATGGTGGCCACATTTAACACCATGATGGCTACATTTAACACCATGATGGCTACATTTAACACCACGCATGATAAAAGGAGAAAGGAACATGTTTCCTTTAACATCTCTAGTAAAAGAATTGTGTTCTGTAGAAGAGAAAATACACCTAGATAAGGGTAATTTATTTTTAAAATTCTTAGTTTTGTAACATGAGTACCAGTAGCTGTACCTGATATACAATGATTATACCCATTGGTGCTATTTTGTGTTACTTCCTTTTGAAAAGGAACTAAAGAATGCTTTTTACTGTCAACACATTTTAAATAATGACATGTTACCTTTAATTTTCCCATTTGAATTTAAGGTTTTCTTTTGATCAACATTGATTTGTCAGTTTTTTCTACATGCAACTTTTATGAAAATATACAGCAAATTCTGAAACAGCTTCACAGCCCCAGTTTAGCTGTCACTGACGTCGTGCCTCTATCAGTAACGGCCGGAAACCACACAGGGTCTGTCTCGCCACCTTAGTTTTATTTATGAATTCCACTTCATTATTGCAACAAGACACCGCAGGTAGTGCATTTGTATGGAAAGCGTCTCCTTCTGGTGAAAGTCTCTGAGCCTTTAGCCTGTGAGTGCACGATACCCGCCATGTGCCCGGTAATTGCCCAGAGCTCAGCGCGCTGGGGCTTCTGCCTTCCACGCATTTAGTGAGATCGCTTTCAGGAAAAAGAGAACTGTAATAAAAATTATGTGCTGGGGAGAAAAACTCAAAAGAATGAACTATGAAATAATGCAATCGCCTATAGGGTCTTGAACTTCTGTTTCTGATATGCAAAAAACGTGAAGAAGTTATTTTATCTTGCTGCACGTGCTCTCTCGGGAGATGTTAGAGACAGACTTTGACAGTGCCTTTTGGCTGGGTGCATCCTGGAGGCCTGGGGCTGTCCTCTTAAAAGGGTTAAGCCGCTGCGTTTGTGTTGAATTACCACTGTCATCCAATTCATTAGAAGAGTTTATGGAGTTACAATCTGTCTGTAATTTATAGCCTGCTCACTGACAAAGCTTAACGCTAACATGTGCCTAATTTGCCGAGGTTATCTCAAGTTCCATTCATCTCCCCCACTAACAATATGCCTCTGATTCCATGCTGCATGGATGAGGTACATGCGGTTTCATATTTAGTGCTATCAATCACAGACAATTGCCTGCAGCTCCTGCCTCAGGGCTCAGAGTGATTTCCCCGCAGTTCCTAATGACTGATGAGAGGGCGGCTCGGCCAGCGGAGGGCGTTGCTTGCAGCCTCCCCCAGCGGCTTCCGTCCAGCAGAGGCTGTTGGAGGCTCCGCGACTGCTCTGAACCTGCCTCGCCGGTGTCCTCTCTCTGGGGAGCTGGCAGATGTGACTTGGGGAGCCTCAGGGGCATCCAGTGGAGACAAGTCGTTGCCCAACCTGGATGGACTGACACCACCACACCAGTGTCTGGTGGGGGAGGCATTCAGGGGCTCAGGCAAATGCTGCCCTCATTACCCTCATCGGACACATCACAGTTCAGGGACATGAGAAGGGCCTGGTGTAGTCGCATTTCTGAGCTTCGATGTGTGGGGCTTTGCCCGGCCCACCTCCCAGCTGCACATCCAGCCTTCTGCTGGGCATAAGGTCAGTGCCGGGTGCCCACCCAGAGCACAGCTCTCCTGGGCCCCTCTCCTTCTCCCTTGAGGAGTGGCCTTGCCCAAATGTTTCATCAGCTTGTGAATTTCTTGATGAAAAGTAGCAACTGCTTGATAGAAGAACTACGTAATAAATATGGTGGTTTAGTTCTCAGCATGTGAAAAGAATACAGAATTGTATCGTGTATCTCTGAAGTTGATATTCTAGAAACATCACAGTGTTAGTTAGGAACCTCAGTGTTGCCGACAGGCACTGACTCTGAACCGTGCACTGAACTCCCGCCTCTCAACTGCAGCCCTGGGGGGTTCCCAGGCAGGGAGCAGAGGTTTGTGCAGCTGTATTATCCATCAGTTCAAGCCTATGAGTAACATGGATTGATCCCACACACAGAACCAAAACATTCTAGCAAGTCCTAAACTTACTAGGGAGATGGTAACTTGACTGAATGGAAAACGTGAACTTACGGAGATTGTTTCTTTTTGTACGGGAGACCAGCAGCAGTAGTCACGAAAGACCAACTCACTGCGAAAATAGGCTTTTAAGTCAAATGGAGGCGCACGTGCTTCCAGCACAGGGCCCACGATTTCAGTGTCTTTGTAGAATTTGCTATTAATTTTGCCGCAGAGACCTTGGGCAGGCCTGATGTGGCCCACGCACATTCCCTCCAGATGAGGGACTGACCTCTCTGTCCTTTTTCACAGCCCCCAATTCCTTGGGTGAGAATATTCTTTCTGTATTTTTAAATGAGATCTTTGACGTTAAAAACGGCAACAACTGAAGCCAGAGGCTGCAGGGAGGGGAAGTGAGGAGACGTCCTTTAACGGGTGCAGAGTTTCAGTTTTGGGGAGTGAGAGCGTTCTGGAGATCTCTTTTTTCTTTTTGAGATGGAGTTTTGCTCTTGTTACCCAGGCTGGAGTGCAATGGCGCGATCTCGGCTCACCGCAACCTCCGCCTCCTGGGTTCAGGCAATTCTCCTGCCTCAGCCTCCTGAGCAACTGGGATTATAGGCACGCGCCACCGTGCCCAGCTAATTTTTTGTATTTTTAGTAGAGACGGGGTTTCACCATGTTGACGAGATGGTCTCGATCTCTTGACCTCGTGATCCACCCGCCTCGGCCTCCCAAAGTGCTGGGATTACAGGCGTGAGCCACCGCGCCGGGCCCTGGAGATCTCTTACACATCAATGTGCATGTACGTTACACCATGGCATTGGACCCTGAGAAGTGGGTGAAGTGGTAAATTTTAAGTTACGTGTTTTTTTTTTTTTTTACCATAATTAGAAAACCCAGAAGTCTAGATGACCGACTCACAGGATACTTTTCATGATGTCATCGCTGTCTCCCGAAAACAGGTGCAACCTGCGGACTCAGGGCTAGGGGGTTCACATTTCCGCACATGAAAGAAAAGCTCATTGTTGACGGCCTGTCAGGGGTGGTGAGGGGCGCCTAATGAACAACAGCACAGACTTTTTACGTAAGTCTTCTGCCCAGAAGTTGGAGGAATTTAAACGACTGCTTCCTCCAATCGTGGTTCAGAAGGCAGGAGGCCACTAGGCCCATCGCGTGGCCTCTTCAGAGCGAGACAAGGAAGAGGTGGCGCCGAGGCCTCGCGCGGGAACGGCCACTTCCGTCTGGTTTACTTCCGGGTCCCTTTCCGAGCTGGCGGTGAGACGCACCATGGTTCTTTCCCACGTTTATTGAGCATCTTCCGGGATTCCATGACGTGGGGACGGCCCTCCGCAGCAGCTTGCCTGTGAGCCGTTAGAGCCTGGCCCTGCTTTAGATTCCGGGAGGAGCAGCTCCCAAGGTTTTTGCTTCTGTCAGAATCCTGAGTACCGGCGGGCGGGGGGCGCCATCTTGTGCTTTTCCGGCGCGGGGCTAGGAAACACTCTTTCATTCGCGTTTTTGGGAGAGCAGAGGGTAAAGGCGCCGCGGGCCTCGCTGAGCCCGATGCGGGGGTGGCGCCGTCGGAAGCCAGGAGAGGAGTCCGTGCTGGTTCTGGCCCACGTTCTGGAAGTCTCCGAGATAGCAGGAGCGCTGCTTCCCAGGGGCCTCTGTGGCCATGGGGGTCACGCGCTCTCTGAAGTGTCAGAGAGAGAAATCCTTAGAAAAACGTGCAGGAAACACGTGCAGGGGGCATGGCGCGGTCCCGCGTGGGGCGGGAGGGATTCCTTAGGCTGCTTCCCATGGGGAGAGGGAAGCGGGGGTGGCGTCTCCGGCGAGGGTGCTGAAGGTCCGCAGGCCCCCCGGGGGTGGGGGTGGGGGACAGCTGTGCCTTCTGTCTGGATACCCCGACCCCTGCGCGGAGAGGGGCTGGCGCGAGGACTCGCCACGCTGGGGCTCTGGGGTCTGCGGCCACCGTTCACTGAGCATGTTTGGAAGCCAGGCCTGGCGTACAGTCCTTCATAATTTCCACGACAATCCTGCAGATGCGCTTGGCTGGGCTGCCGAGGCGCCTGCCGGGGGCTGTCCCCATGGGGTCCCCAGAGGTCCTCAGAGACCACGGGAACGGAAGGGTCGATCGACTTCATCCCACTCCCTGGACGGGTTAGATACAAAAAGACTCATTCTGTCAACAAATTTTTTTTTTTCCCAATTTTTTAAAATTGCATTTTAGGTTTTGGGGTATATGCGAAGAACATGTGAGATTGTTGCAGAGGTACACTCATGGCAGTGTGATGTGCTGCCTTCCTCCCTATCACCTATATCTGGCATTTCTCCCCATGCTATCTCTCCCCAACTCCCCCCTCCCGCCCCCCCCCCACTTTCCCTTCCCTGTTCCCTGCAACAGACCCCAGTGTATGATGCTCACCTCCCGGTGTCCATGTGTTCTCACTGTTCAACACCCGCCTATGAGTGAGAACATGCGGTGTTTGATTTTCTGTTCTTGTGTCAGTTTGCTGAGAATGATGGTTTCCAGTTTCATCCATGTCCCTACAAAGGACATAAACTCATCGTTTTTGATGGCTGTATAGTATTCCATGGTATATATCTGCCAAATGTTTTTTTTTTAATGACAAAAGTAATACGCACCAGCGTTTGAAGTGGTGCACCCTTATTTGGAAACACCCTCCATTAAGAAGAGTATTTCTCCGGGCCTGGTCCCATGGGCTGCTGTCGGCCTTCCTCCCCCACAGACCCAGCCTGTCCTGTGGACTCACCCCACCCACACAGACCCCATTCGCCCTGGACAGAGCTGGGGGGGATGCAGTGTCTGGAGCCATGGCCTGTGTGTCCCTGGACAAACCCGGGCCACACCTCGACGTCCCTGGATTCCTGGGCAGCTGGGGCTGCCCAAACCCGAGCAAGGCCCCCACCATCTGGGATGTGGCCAATGATGCTCTGGGGTTCCCCCAGCGGGATCCCCACGTCTCCCGGCACAGGCGGCTCTTCCTGCACCAGCTCCCGGGACCTTGGGGTCACAGGGGCACAGGCATGGTCACCTACGCTTAGAGATGCTGAGAAGGGAAGGTGATCTCCAGGCCCTCCCAGAGCAAGAAGCTGTATAGTGCTGCATTTTCATCAGTCCCCACCGAGGCTCGAAGGCTGCTTCTCACACTGAGGGGAGGTGGAGGCAGAGGAGGAGCTTCAGGATAAGTCCCTGAAAGCATGGCTACTAGTTATCCACAGCCCCTTATGCAGAGACCACCCCCCCCCCCGCCCGCCACCATGCCCCAGACACGAGCCAGTGCCAGGAGCTGCCTGTGGCTGCTGTTGGAGATTGCCCCACTGATTGGCGTAAAACAGCAAATTCCTTTTCTCAGAATTCTGGGGGGTCAGAGGTCAGAAGTTGGAAACCCAGGCATCTCAGGGCTGCACTCCCTCCAGGGAGCCAGGGAGGGTCCCTCCTGTCCCTTCCACTTCCTGTGGTGCAGGAGCTCCTTGGCTGGCTCTCCATCACGTTGGTCTCTGCCTAAGTCTTCTCACCCCCCACTTGTGGCTGTGCTTTCACTTCCTTTGTCTCCTGAAAGGACACTGAATGCAGGGCCCACCCTAATCTAGGACAATCTCCTTTCCAGGCCCTGGACCACATCTGCAGAGAAGCCTTTCCCAATGAGGTCTCCTGCAGAGTTCTGGGGTATCGGACCACAGTCCAACTCCTCCACTAGTATAATCCACATGACACCAGGAAAGGGTGGGACTGTTCCCATTTTGCAGTGAGGAAAGTGAGACTTCAGGAGGTCAGGGCACTTTCGTGGTAGTGAGAATTGATGAGGACAGGGCTGGGTCCTCAACATGTGGATGTATCCCTTGCTTTTCCCTTGGCTTTCACACTAACATTTCAAATGGGGTTTGAATTCAGGTAAAGATCTGGCATCACTGTGGAGCAGCAGTTCTCAACCGGGGTTGCCCCTAGCTGCACACTGGACTCAACTGTGACATTAGATTTCACACTGGCTGACACGGGGCTCTGAGAGTAGGGCCCAGGCTCTGGGCTGCACTCTGAGCAGCAGGGATTTCCGTGACTCCTGAATACGCAGCACCCTGGGCACCATTGTCCTAGAAATTACAAAATAGGTGGCAGTCACTTGATTTACCAGTTATTTTCTTTCTGATCACAGTGGTTCTTTAAAAATTGTGAAACCATTACCAGATTTTGGTACAAGAAAATGTACATGGGCTTCGAGAATTTCTTACACTTAAGCTGTAATCGTCCTCATCCACAGTTTTGCTTTCTGTGTTTTGTTTACCCAAGGCCAACTGTGGTCTGAAAACCAGTGACAGTAGTACAGTAAGATGTGTAGAGAGAAGGAGTGTGTGTGCATGCACATCCACATCACTGTTAATACAGTAGAGGACTGTGTTGTTCTATTTTGTTATTAGGTGTTGTTAATCTCTTACCATGCCTAAGGTACACGTGAATCTTTGTCATGAGTACACAGGTATAGGAAAAAACTACATACAGGCACAGATCAGACATATTGCAGTTTTGGTTCTAGACCACGGCAATAAAGAGCATATTGCCCCTGTTTAATAAATGCTGTTAGGATAACTGGCTAGCCGTGTGCAGAAAACAGAAACTAGACCCCTTCCTGACACCTTACACTAAAATTCACTCCAGATAGATTAAAGACTTAAACATAAGACCTAGCATCATAAAAACCCTAGAAGAAAGTCTAGGCAAAAGCATTCAGGACATAGGAGTAGGCAAGGACTTCATGACTAAAACACCAAAAACATTGGCAACAAAAGCCAGAATAGACAAATGGGATCTAATTAAACTCCAGAGCTTTTGTACAGCAAAAAGACCAATCATTAGAGTGAACTGGCAACCAATGGAATGGGAAAAAATTTTCGCAATCTACCCATCTGACAAAGGGCTAATACCCAGAATCTACAAAGAACTGAAACAGATTTACAAGAAAAAAAACAAACCCACTCAAAAGTGGGTGAAGGACATGAACAGACACTTTTCAAAAGAAGACATATATAAGGACAACAATCATAGGAAAAAATGCTCATCATCACTGGTCATTAGAGAAATGCAAATCAAAACCATGTTGAGATACCATCTCATGCCAGTTTGAACGGCGATCATTAAAAAAATCTGGAGACAACAGATGCTGGAGTGGATGTGGAGAAATAGGAACACTTTTACACTGCTGGTGGGAGTGTAAATTAGTTCAATCATTGTGGAAGACAGTGAGGCGATTCCTCAAGGACCTAGAAATAGAAATTCCATTTGACCCAGCAATCCCATTACTGGGTATATCCAAAGGATTATAAATCATTCTATTTTAAAGACACATGCACACATATGTTCATTGCGGGACTGTTTACAATAGCAAAGACCTGGAACCAACCCAAATGCCCATCAATGATAGACCGGACAAGGAAAATGTGGCACATATACACCATGGAATACTATGCAGCCATAAAAAATGATGAGTTCGTGTCCTTTGTAGGGACATGGATGAATTGGGAAACCATCATTCTCAGCAAACTGACAGAAGAACAGAAAATCCAACACTGCATGTTCTCACTCATAGGCGGGTGTTGAACAATGAGAACACATGGAGACATGGAGGGGAACATCACACATAGGGGTCTGTTGTGGGGGACAAGGGGAGGGACAGTGGGGTGTAGGAAGGTTGTGGAGGGATAACATGGAGAGAAATGCCAGAGATGGCTTCTTTCCTTCAACCTCATGAATTAAACCCTGGATGGCTTCCAACTTTTCTCCTGCAGCTTCCTCACCTCTCTCAGCATTCACAGAACCGCAGAGAGTTGGGGGGCTTGCTACAGATTAGGCTGTGGCTTAAGGGAATGTGCTGTGCTGGTTTGATCTTCTGTTCAGACCATTTATACTTTCATATCAGCAATAAGGCTGTTTCACTTTCTTATCATTTGTGTGCTCACTGGATAGCACTTTTGATTCTATTCAAGATTTTTTCCTTTGCATTTACAACTTGACTATTTGGTGCAAAATGCCTAGTTTTTGCCCACTCTTAGCATTTGACATACCTTCCTCCCTAGGCCTGATCATTTCTAGCTTTTGATTAAAGAGACATATGTGTGACTCTTTTACTGGAACACTTGCAGGCCATTGTAAGGTTCTTAATTCGCCTAGTTTCAATATTGTTGTGTCTCAGGGAACAGAGAGGACTGAAGAGAAGGAGGGAGGTGGGGAAACGGTTGATGGAAAGGTCAGAACACACACAACATTTCTCAGTGAAGTTCACTGTCTTCTATGGGCACGGTTTGTGGCACCTTAAGACAACTGCAATAGTAACATCAAAGATGACCGATTGCAGATTGCCGTAACAGATGCAATAATGATGAAGAGGTTTTCAATATTGTGAGAATTACCAGCAGGTGCCACAGGGTCTTGAAGCCCTCCTGTTGAAAAAGTCATGCTGACAGTCCTGTTCACCACAGGTTGTCACAGATCTTCAATCTGTAAAAAACAAATAAACAAAACCCCACAGTATCTGCCAAGCAATACGATGAAGTACAACAAAACGAGGTGTGCCAGCACGGGTTTCCATAGGAGCTTCGGCTTCAGGTGTCCACTGGGGTCTTGCAGTGGGTCCCCATGAGTATGGGGGATGCTGGACGCAGAGGTGCCATGGAGCCAGGCAGCACTGGCAGCAGATAAGGTGGGTTTCGGGTCTGAAGTTTTACTCAGTCACTTCCTGGCTTTTGGATGCTGGACTTTGCAAGTCACTGGATCTGTCTTGACCTGTACATTAGAGACAGCAACATTTTCCTTGATGGGTCTCTGTGGTGACAGAGAGATGCCGCCAGCACTGCCTTGGCACATGTCCCCAACCCCCACCGGCGATGCCCGGCAGACATTCTTCACTCCAGGGACTGTGCTCATCCTCAGTTTTCCCTTTGAAAGTTGGCTAAAGTCTTTGAATTATTTTCTTTTTTTAAATTTTGAATTATTTTTATTTTATTTTAGTGTTTACATTTTACCAGTTTGAGTGAACTGCAGAAATCTTACATTCCTGTAAGTTCATTGTCACCCCCTGTCTTTGTAAAATTATTGTTTTGAAGTTTCCTCTACATACACTGGGAATCACAACATAATTTTTGCTCCAACTTCCAAATAAAATTTAGAAAACTCAGAAGGAGGCTTGAGGCAGTGGCTTATGCCTGTAATCCCAGTGCTTTGGGAGGCTGAGGTGGGTGGACCCCTTGAGGTCAGGAGTTTGATACTAGCCTGGCCAACATAATGAAACCCCATGTCTACTAAAAAATACCAAAATTAGCCAGGCCTGGTGGTGCATACTTGTAATCCCAGATACTCGGGAGTCTGAGGCAGGAGAATCGCTTTAACCTGGGAGGTGGAGATTGCAGTGAACCAAGCTCGCACCATTGCACTCCAGCCTGGGCAACAAGAGCAGAACTCCATCTCAAAAATAAAAAACAAAAACAAACAAACAAAAACCCCCAAAACCTCAGGAGGAGGAGGAAGGACTATTGTGTCCACCAGCATTTTCCTGCTTTCTGTCATTCTTCTTTCCTTCCTGGCCTTTAGAGATTCCCTTTTCCATCATTTCCCTTCTGTTTAGAGAACTTCCTCTCTCCATTCCTTTAAGGAAGGTCTGATTGTGATAAATTTTCTCCGTTTTCCTTCATCTGAGAATTTCTTGTTTTTCCCTTAAGTCTTGAGAAAATCTTTGCTGGATATAGAATTCTGGGCTGATAATTCTTTTATTTCAGCCCTTGAAGACTTTGTGCCCTTATTGGGACTGGCCTTTAGGGTTTATGATGAGAAATGTACTGTCTTTTGTATTTGCCTTTAGCTTCTGAAGTTTGACTGGGGTACGGGCTCTGCTTTGGCTCTATCCTGTCTATGCTCTGCTCAGTTTCTTGATTCTGAAGTGTACGATTTATCAAACTTGGGAAATTTTCATCCATTATTTTTTAGATGCTTCTCCAGCCTCATCCTCATTCTCCCATTCTGGGATTCCAACAATACAAATGTTAGGTTGTTGTTTTACTTTCAAAATACTGAAGCCATTTTATTCTTTTTTTAACCTGTCTTCTGTCTGCTGGTCAGATTGGGTAATTTCTACTGTCCCAGCCTCAAGTCTTTTGTCTATTTTCTCTGTCTTCTACATTTTTCTGTTCAGCCCACCCAGCAGGTTTGGTGTTTTTAATTTTTTTTTACTTTTTACTTTTTGAGATGGAGTCTTGCTTTGTCACCCAAGCTGGAGTGCAGTGGTGCAATCTCAGCTCACTGCAGCCTCTGCCTCCTGGGTTCAAGCAATTCTTCTGCCTCAGCCTCCTGAGTAGCTGGGACTACAGGTGTGCACTGCCACACCTGGATAATTTTTGTATTTTGAGTGGAGATGGGGTTTCACCATGTTGGCCAGGATGGTCTTGATCTCCCAGCAGGTTTTTGATTTGCATTATCATACTTTTCAGTTCTAACATTTCCATTTGGTTCTTTGCTGTACCTTCTATTTCTTTGCTGATGCTATTTTCACATGTGTTTCCAGCAGGTTTGTAATTGTGACAATTGCTTGTTTGATAGTTTCAACATCTGTGCCATGTCAGAGTTGCTGTCTTTTGCTTGCCTTTTCTCATTTAAGTTGAGGTTTTCCAGATTCTTGGTATGAAGAGTGGTTTTTATTTTATTTTAGTTCTGGGATACATGTGCAGGAAGTGAGGTTTGTTGCATAGACGAATGTGTGCATGGAGGTTTGCTGCACCTATCAACCCATCACCTAGGTATTAAGCCTGGCATGCATTAGCTGTTTTTCTTGATGCTCTCCCTAACCCCGTCCCCCTGCCACAGGCCCCAGTGTGTATTGTTCCCTTCCTGATGGCCATGTGTTCTTGTCGTTTAGCTCCCAGTTATAAGTGAGAACATGTGGTGTTTGATTTTCTGTTCCTGTGTTAGTTTGCTGAAGATACTGGCTTCCAACTTCATCCATGTTCTTGCAAAGGACATGATCTCATTCTTTTTTATGGCTGCATAGTATTCCATGGTGTGTATGTACCACATTTTCTTTGTCCAGTCTATCATTGATGAGCATTTGGATTGATTTCATGTATTTGCTATTGTGAATAGTGCTGCAGTGAACATATGCATGCGTCTTTATAGTAGAATGATTTATAGTCCTCTGGGTATATACCCAGTAATGGGATTGCTGGGTCAAATGGTATTTTTGGTTCTAGGTCTTTGAGGACTCACCAGACGGGTGATTTTTAATTGTATCTCAACACCTTCAGCATTACACCACATTCTTACTTTCACCTTCTGCTTTAGCAGGGGAGAAGGGTGTTGCCCCATTACTGTCAATTAGGGGCAGAAGTCCAGGTTCCTCACTAGGTGCCCTGATACCTGTGGTGTTGGGAGGTGCCTTCTGAGTGCAGGGGTGGACGTCAGACTCTCCGTCGGGTCTCTGCTGATCCAGCCATCAGGAGCATGGTCAGGGCCACCTCCACAAGGAGGTGCTTGGCTGCAGGAGGCTGTAGTTGTTGAAAAGTTTCCCTCTTGCTAAGTGGCCCCATTCCTTTGACCTAGAGAGAGGATTGACTTTTATTGGGCCTTTTTTTGGGTCTGTGTCTGCTAGTGTTTCTGGGTTGCTGGACTCTCCAGCCTCAGTGAGGATAAAGAAAATGCGACGTGTTTCCTCAGGCCCTGCTGTGTCTAGCCTGTCTGCCTTCTCTAATTTTCACAGCTTTTTCTTGAGTGTTTGCTGTATAGAACACAGTTCTAGTTGTTCTTAGTGAGAAGAATAGAGAGAAATGGGCCTACTTCATGTTGTCTGGAACCAGAAGTCCTCATCTGCTTTTGTGGCTGATGTGCAAAAAATCATGTATCTCCTGCAGGCGTGTGCAGCTCATCTGCATCACCTCAGAGACCCCGGTGCTGTTCTTTGCCATGGCTGTCCCCAGGGAGCTGCTTGAGAGCCAGGCCAAAGCGTCTGGGCCGATGAGAGGCTGGTGTCTCAGCACTGGGTTCAAACAGGTACACAGAGGAGGCGGTGATCGTGATGGTGGCAGCTCCTTTGGATCTCATTCCAAAGGCTTCCAGCTTCCAGGAAAAGCAAGTCTCCAACGTGTGTCAGGAGCTGCCTGAATCCTGGCTTGTCTTTGACGTGGCTGCCTTCGCAGCATGGACGGGGGAGGGTAGAGCCGCTGTTCTCAAGTGGCCTAGTCTCTGGGCAGCTTTGCACTCTTTACAATAATAGATATGAAAACTAAGAAATATAAAATACTAAATACATTCCATGTAAATCTAGCATAGTTTTATTAGAAGTGGATATTTTCCAACCAAAAAACATTTAATGGGAAGAGTGGTCTTGGTGTGTATACCTTTGCTGATCTCTTTCATGCCTGGCTCAATAGGAGTCAGTGGTTCTCACGTCTCTTCCTGGTAGAAGTGGAAGGAAATTCCATTCTCTCAGATGCACACTTGGTGAGAGGAGCCTTTCAATGGCCTTTCCAGTTACATTTGGATCTGCTTCAATGCTGCACCAAATTTCAATGACTGTTTCTTTAAGGTTAGTTTCAACATGGAATCCAAAACTGCAGCCATGCATCACTTAACTACAGGGTGCTTTCTGACAGGTGTGTTCTTAGGCAGTCTCATCACTGTTTGGACATCTGGAGCAGGCAGGGGCCGCACATGGCCCGGGACAGCTTTGAATGTGACCCAACACAAATTCGTAAACTTTCCTATAACAGTATGAGATTTTTTTTGTAATTTCTTTTAACCTAATTAGCTGTCGTTAGTGTTGGTGTGTTTTATGTGTGACCCAAGACAATTCTTCCAGTGTGGCCCAAGGAAGCCAAGAGATTGAACATCCCTGACGTGCACTGTGCTTCACACCGCAGCTGTGTGGCGCAGCCTCTTCATTCTGTGCTACAAACCTGCACGGCGTGTGACTGTTCTGAAGCCCGTAGGCAACTCCAACACAACGGTAACTATGTACATATCTACATCTATCTAAACATAAAAATACGGGGAAAATACAGCAGAAAAGGTAAAAACTGGCATACCTACCTTGGGCACCTCCCATGAATGCAGCTTGCAGGACTGGAAGGTACCCTGGGTGAGTTGGGAGTGGGTGGGGTGACTGTGGAGGCCTCGGACATGGCTGTGTACTACTGACGACTTCACAAACACTGTACACTTCGGCCACACTGCATTTCTCAACAACATTCTTACTCCAATAATAAATTACACTTAGCTTACTATAACCTTTTTACTTTTATAAACTTTTAACTTTTTGACTCTCTTGTAATGACACTTAGCTTAAAACACACATTATACAGCTATACAGAAGTATTTTCTTTTTTAATATCTTTATACACTTTTCTTCTATTTTTAAGTGTTTTTATTTTTTACTTAAAAGATTTTTTTTTGGTTAAAAACAAAAACATAAACACAGACATTAGCCTAGGCCTGGTCCCAGGGTCAGGATCATCATTATGTCCTCTGCCTCCACATCTTGTCCCACCGGAAGGTCTTCGGGGCAGGGACACACCTGGAGCTGTCATCTATGACAGTGCCATCTTCTGGACACCTCCTGTGGGACCTGAGGCTCTTCTGCAGTTAACATACATATATGTAGAAGAATCACACTCCAAGACAATGATAAGAAGTACAGCACAATAAATACATCAACCTCTGACACTTTTGTCATTTGTTACCATGACCAAGTATGACTGCTGTTTATGATTCTCATCACACCCATCCTGGGGTCACACACTGCGTGACTCACGTGGGTGTGGTAATGCTGGTGTGAACAAACCTGCTGCATGGCCAGTGTGTAAGAGTCTAGCACAGACAGCTGTGTACAGTACATAGTACTTGAGAAGGATTGGCAACCATTATCGTACTGGTTCATGTATTTGCTACGTTGGAAGCGAGCATTGTGGTGAGGTCGCAGGTGTGGGTAAGAAGCCCAGAAACCTGTTAGGAAGAAAGGAGGAGAGTTGGGGAAGGAGAATAGACAGAACTATCAAGACCAGGCTTGGATAAAGGATTCAGAAGAAAATGCAGGGTCCCAGTGCCAAGGCTAATGAGGAAGCCAGGCAGGGGCTAGAAGGGCCAATAAGCACCTCCAGCAAATGCCTCCTGACCCCTGATTAGCCCTGCAGTGGGGCCAGCCCTGGAGTCCAGTCTCTACTCATTCTGGACAAACATGGGCATGGTTTTCATCCCAGTTCCCCAGTACAGGGATGAGCAGGCCCCTGGGGGTCTCGGCAGCCCTGTTCTCTGGAGCCTGTGTCCGGCAGTCCCCTTTCTGTGCCGGGGGAAGATAGAGGTGCCCAGATGCGGCATGGGGGCAGAGGCCAGGCGGAACATGGCAGCAGTTCCAATGTGCCTTTTACTGGTTTCCCAGAGGGATCACTGGTACCTTTACATGTTGAATTCAGAAACCAGCCAGTGCAGCCCAGACACACATGGACAGTGGACCTTGGCAATGACTGTGGCTTTGGCAAAACTCTCACTGTACCAGGCTCCTTCTCCCCCTGTAGCAATAAGGCCAGACTACTGAGGCCTCAATGCCCACTGCCCACTGAATGCTACACCCAGGTTGCAGGGAGACGGAGGGGGAGGCCAGGACAGGGTGAGCAGGAAATTGACACACACGGGGTAAAGCAATTCATTTTATTCACTTTATTTTTTCCTAAAGAACCCAAGGCCGATGCAGAAGATGATCATCTCCGATCACAGCCCTTGACCGGAGCGCGCTTCCCGCATCTGGAGCCACCGCATCTGTCCCCTCTGCAGTCTGCTGGGAATTGGTCTGAAATCACATGCGTCCCACTCAGCTACATTTACATTTCCTTCTTTTGCTGTTTTTATACCAGAGCAGTTGAAACCACTCCCAGGATGAATTTCTAAACTTAGACTGTCTCATCCTCAAACGGCAAGAGAGAGTGATGTGTCTGTGAATCTGCTGAATGGGCCGAGGGGTGTCTTTAAAAGATTGTATGGGGGAAGAGGCAGGCCCTGCAGAAACCTATGGACTGGGCTGCTAAAATACGAGCTTCCCAGGAAGCCACCTTTTGGGAGCCTGGACTAGCCCAGAACCTTTTCTGAGTAGCAGCTGACAACCACGGTCTCTCCCGTGAGCCCACTTCAACCCAGCAATGAAAGGAAACTTGCTACACTCCAGCAGTAGGAGTAGGAAATCCCACCATCCCTACAAAATAAAGGCTACACATTTAAGATCCTCTCAGTGGACGTTTTCCAAAATAACATCTTTCACTTATGCTTGAGCAGGGACAAGAGTCATTAAAAAGAACAGATTGTTAAAATCTCTGTCCAGTGCTTTTGGCCAGCGAGCCGCTCAGGACAAAGGGCTGCCTGGTTTTGGGCCCTAATTATCAGGAGGCCAAGGCCCGGCTGCGGGTGATGGGGCTGCGGGCTTCGAAGCGAGCACCGTCCTCCCCATTCTTGGTGAATTTCTTGTTCTTGGCACTTTCCTTGGCAGCCTGATGGCCAGCACCTGTGCACTCAGACCTGGGGCCCACCCGGGACAGCCATGCAGATGTCACGCCGCTTTTTCTGATTTCTTATTAGTGGCACTTAATAGGCAGGTGCTGGGGGCAGTTTGGCTGGCTCCGGAGGGGCCGCAAACACTGCTCCCTTGGTGGGCCAAGGGTCAAATGATTTCCAAAGCTCAGCCAGATAATTGCTGGTGATTAGCAATTTTAATTACCAGGTGCGAGGGGTCGGGACCCCCTTCCCTGTAATTGGACAGGTTGTCAACATCCATGGAGTTGTGGCCAGGGAGTATGTTTTACTAATACTCTCTAGGTCTTTCAAAGTTAATTCAATTAAAGCAGCTGAAACCGCCAGAGATGGCCTGAGATCTGATGAGGCACATTGAACAAGTTTTCGGTAAAACTTGTCTCGCTGGAAAAAAAAGAAAGAAAAATAAACTTCAAACGCAGCCATGAATCCCGTGTGAACATCGCACGTCCTGTTCGTGCCCTTCTGTGGCTGCGGAAGGTTGGGGCCGTGAACAGTGTTCTTCTGCTGGGTGCCTCACACTGGGACTCAGCCCGTCGGGTGCAGCTTTTCCGTGTGCTGACTCTTAGGGGCTTTGTACGGTCACAGTGAGCAGAAAACCAGTATCTTCCTGGTGCAGCTTTGGAAGGGGCTGGACACCCACTCATGGCCACCGAGCGCTGCTCCACCTCTGTGCCTCCAACTCCTCACTGATATGGACGTGTATTCAAAATTGATCGATGTCCCCCGGTTCCTTTCACAGAGGCCAAGAAGCCTGCGAATATACTTCACAGTCTCTGAATAAGTGCAGGAAGAGGGCATGGCAGGAATTTCCTGGGGTCGCAGGGCCAGGGATGGTGACTGCAGCCCAGGCCTCTCTAGTTATGTGGGAGGCTGCACACAGCCCACACTGACTTAAAGGCAAGCAAGAACTGATACAGTCACACGGCCATACTGAGCCTGAGGACAGGGAATAGCTTGGCTGACACACTCAGGAGGGGGGACTCAAGCAGCCAGGAACACGAGACTTGTGTCGGACTTGGAGGATGGACATGGGGAGAAGAGAAGGCACCCTCGGGCAGCAAGTTCAGAGCAAGAGCAGCGGCGATGGCAGAGTCTTGTCCTTCATCCCGAGATCCTGGGGCTATGCCTGGCTCGGCAGGCTCCGTCTGGAGATGCAGAAGGCAGGGGTGTGAGGGCCTCACCCATGACTTTGGTTTCTTGACCCTGTGGTTAGAGGCTTTAATGAAAAGTCTTTTCTTTCCACGACACATTTCTAACACTCTTTGCCCACAATACAGACAGTTACTTTAAGGGCCAACAGGAATAATTGGTTCATGATGTGGGATCCGAGTGCTCCATTCTGAGCTCCCACAGAAGGATCTGTGTGCTTCCAGAAACAGTTTGGATGTATGTTTAAAGGAGCTTGGAGGAGGATTGCCCCGTGGGGTAGATGGGTAGGGCCTTGTGGCCTGGGGACAGTGACCCAAGGCAGCTTCTAGCCAATGGGTGTTGTTCACATGGAGTGTGAGCAAGTGTGAGCCAGCTGTGGGTGGCTGGGCCCCAGTGGGCCAAGCATGAGGCTGAGGAGGGCTGGAGGATGTGCTGTCAGGGCGGCTGCTGGGATAGGTATGGAAACATGCGTCCCTGACCCTTTTCTTTGTGATTTAAAAAACATATTTTGGCTCCATGTGGTGGCTCACACCTCTAATCCCAGCACTTTGGGAGGCTGAGGTGAGCAGATCACCTGCGGTCAGGAGTTTGAGACCAGCCTGGCCAACATGGTGAAATGCCATCTCAACTAAAAATACAAAAATTAGCCAGGCGTGGTAGCATGCACCTGTAGTCCCAGCTACTGAGGAGGCTGAGGCAGGAGAATCACTTGAACCCAGGAGGTAGAGGCTGCAGTGAGCCAAGATAGCACCACTGCACTTTAGATTGGGTGACAGAGCGAGACCCTATCTCCAAAAGACCGAAAACAAAATAAACAAAAAACATACTGTAAACATGTTCACAATGGTGTAATTACCCGCATACCTTCTCCCCACACCTGATCCACCTGTAGTCATTTTCTGGTGCTCTCCATACCTGTAGAGAGCACTGGCCACCATGCCCTGGGTGGCTGTGTACGTGGCCTGCCCCAGCCCCTTATCCCCTGATGGTCTCCTGAGTGAGAGGACCGAGCTGGGGGAGTACACCCAGGAGACTCTGAGCCCCAGCAGAACAAAGCGAGCTCTGCCTTCAGCACTTTGGCCTTGAGACTTGTGCCTGAGAGCAGGAGTGGGACCCTTTGTGCCCAGGGTAGGCTAGGGCAGCTCCTGGGGTTCATTACCTTTGTTAGAGTGACTACAGGCAAGTCCATAGAGAATGTTTTGTCTTTCCTGTTATGCTTTCACTCCATAATCTTTAAAATAAAAAAACATCAAAACACCTGGTGTGCAAAAACATCAAAACCCGTGGCTCCGAACTCAGGTCTTGGGAGCTCCTTCCAAGCTGTTTGGTGGAGGCTGCAGGCAGAGGATGGGATCCACTTGGAGGAGGAGGAGGAGGAGGAGGAGGAGGAGGAGGAGGAGGAGGAGGAGGAGGAGGAAAATCAGATGAGTAGGGTGGTCACCATTATAGTTTTTTGTGAAGGTTGTGCTCCTGTGTGGAGCAGGGCAGACAGAAGGACTCAGAGGCTGGTGTAGGGCAAGTTGCTAATGCCCTTAGTTAATGGGGCCCTGAAGAGGGGTAAGTCCTCACAGTAGGTCCCTGTGATGTCCCTGGCCAATGGAGGTGCAGCCAGGGGCTGAGAAAGGACTCCATTTATGGATGAAACCACAGAAATGACAGCATCTCTACCTGGGGGTTTGGCTTGGGCAATACCCTTGGTTAGATAAATCCAGAGCAAGGATGGTGAGGACACCAGTTAGTCAGTGGCCTTCTTTTATCTTTTAGCTTTTCCCTTGTGATATGGTTTGGCTCTGTGTCCCCACCCAAATCTCATCCTGACCGGAAATCCCCATGTGTCGAGGGAGGGAGGTGACTGGATCATAGGGGAGGGTTCCCATCCTGTTCTTGTGATAGTCAGTGAGTTCTCATGAGATCTGATGGTTGTGTAAGTGTTTGGAAGTTCCTCTTTCACGCATCTCTCTCCTGCTGCCTTGTGAAGAAGGTGCCTGCTTCCCGCTTGCCTTCTGCCATGATTGTAAGTCTCCGGAGGCCTTCCCAGCCATGCAGAACTGTGAGTCAACTGAACCTCTTTCCTTTATAAAGTACCCAGTCTCAGGTATTTCTTCATAGCAGTGTGAAAACAGACAATACACCTTGGAAATAATCTCATGCTTATAAAAGAGTTGCAAAAATTGTATAAAGTATCTGCCCTACCCTCGACCCTGCTTCCCTGAAGCCTGTGCTTACATAATTCATTGTGTTAAACTTACACATGGTAGATGACACTTTATTACCAGCCAGTCTACAGGCCTTATGTGAATGCTACCAATTTCCCTGCAATTGCCTCTTTTCTGGTCCCAGAGCCAGTCCAGGGCCCCAGGCTACTTCTAGCTTCTTGTGCCCTTGGTCTTTGCTCAGGTAGGGGAGTTCATCCCTGTAGATTCCTCTTCAGCTACTGTGGCCGCTCTGGAGAGCTGATGTTATAGGATGACTGTCCCTCAGTCTGGGTTCGTCTTACATTTCCTCATGAATAAATTAAAATTATACATTTTGGCCAGAATGCCCAGAAGCGACGCTGGGTCCGTCTCGGGCCCCCTGGTGTGCACGCAGCAAAGCCTCACGTCCGGTGGTGCAGCTTTGACCACAGGGGTGGGTGGCATCCGCCAGGTGTCTCCCCATCAGCTTGTGACTTTCCCCTTTGCCATGATTCAGTGTCTGGTGAAAAGGTGTCTGGGGACTTCGTAAATAGCTGGTTTCTCACATTTTCACCTGCCAATCTCAGGTCCCTCGAGAATGCTGCCTTCTACACTTTTTACCAAATGGTGGCATTCCTGCTTTTCCTGTTTTCCTCTTTCCTTCCACACTGAGTCTCCTGTGAGAAAGGGCTGTCTTTCCCTGACCTTATGCATTTATTTGATTACCTATTTGTATCAGCTTAAGCTCATGGATATTTATTCTATTCTATGGAATAAAATGTATTATTTTTACTATCATTGCTCTTAGTTTACATTTTCAAGCCCTGGCCACTGGGTACTCCTGCGGTAGAACAATCTTATTAAAGCTGTGTGCTGTGGAAGTTTGCTTTTCTAAATCAGATTATCTGGGTTCCTTTTTTTTTTTTTTGAGTCAGAGTCTCACTCTGTTGCCGAGGCTGGAGTGCAGTGGCATGATCTCAGCTCACTGCAACCTCTGCCTCCTGAGTCCAAGCAATTCTCCTGCCTCAACCTCCTCAGTAGCTCAGATTACAGGCATGTGCCACCATGTTTGGCTAAGTTTTGTCTTTTCAGTAGAGACAGGATTTCACCATGTTGGCCAGGTGGGTCTCGAACTCCTGACCTCAAGTGTTCTGCCCACCTTGGCCTCTGGGATTACAGATGTGAGCCATTGTATCCGGCCCTAAATCAGATTTTCTAACTTCCCCCAGCAACAGGATAAGAGAGGGTGAGTGACCCTCTCAAGGACACAGGCCGGGGCTGAAGGGAGGGGCTGGATGTGCAGCTTGCTCCCAGGGAACACATGGTGGTGGGAGAGTGGTTGGTGGGGGAGGGGGGAAACGCGGTGGTGGGAGGGCTCCAGGGGGGATCACGCAGCGGTGGGAGGCCTGGTGCTGTCTATGGCTGCGGCCGCTGTCTATACAGTGAGCTGATGGGGTCCCACGCAGACGTGGGGGATGAGCCAGTGCCGCCCGAATCCAGCTTCCTTCTCATTAGGGTTCTAAGGAAAGGACACTGAAGGAAGCCATGCTATCCAGGGACCTGCGGTGCCAGGTGAGCCTCAGTGCTGCAAGCCAGCTTCCAGCCAGTCCTCGAGGCCACCTCAGAGCCAGGGCCTGGGAGCCGCCGTCATGGAGCTTCATCAAGGGGGGCATCAGGGTGTCCGGGCATCACATGGAATGTGATGGAGGTGCTCTCACGTACACCTGTGTGTGCTCTCTGTGCCCTTGTGTGCTCTCCCTGGTGCTCGTGTGTGTGTGTGTGTGCGCATGCACACTCGTGTATGCTGGTGAGGTGGGTGTGATGCTCTAGAGAGGCTGTTCCCTCGGGGCAGCTGCCTTATCTAATTGCCCTGCCTCCGCAGGCCCAGCTGACTCCAGGTCTCCAGGAGACTCGGAATGAGCACCTGCCCTCCATGTGCCCGGCTATGGGTGTCCTGGGCTGAGCAGGAGGCACTTCCAACAGCCCTCTCACCACCGCTGCCTGGGGCTACTGTATCCCCGACCTTGCTCAGGCCAAGACCCGACGCCCTGAACTGTGGTCACTGCTGGGTGCTGGGCGGATCCCCGGGCACCATGAGCTGGGCTGAGCCTATTTTTCCCAGCCTGTCGCTGTGGGTGTCGTGTACACACTGGGGCTGCTGCTCCCAGGGAACACTGTGATGACGCACATGCCTGAAAATAGTGTCTCGATTTCCCAAAATCATACAACAGAAACATTTCTAACCTCCTCTAAATTTCACGGGTGACAGGGATGTTTGGCTGTGGCCTGCTCCTGAGCAAGGTCAGAGGCTGCGATGGGTTACAGGGTCCCTGTTCGGTCTGGCTCTCGGGGAGGTGCGGGTCAGTGGTGCAGGGAACGAGGCTGGGGTCCACATGTGTGTGCTGTTTCTCGGTGGGAGAGTCAGCCACGTATGCTGAAGACGTGGTGGGTGGGCAGCCAGGAAAATGCTCAGTGTTTCGGGGTCTGCTCTTCACTCTTTGTAGGAGACTCTCTGTGTAGTGTAAGCTCTAGAGAGAGTGATCTCTGGAAGTCAAAATAGACATAGAATTTACATTCGGATGCCGTGTATCTCAGTGCGTTCAGAAGTGCGCTTAAACACTGTAAAGCTCTGGTTTCCCCATGGACGGGTGAGGTTTCTTCTATTTCATTATAACATTGATGCGGAGGCTGTGGCTGAGACAGAGGAAGGAAGACAGAAGTGGGGGAGCTGAGAGGAGGGAGCTCCCTGACGGTGTTCAGGACACCTGTGCCCTGATACCTGTGTCTGGGCTCCCATGAAGAGTTGTTTCTGGAATCATGGTCTCTCAAGCGCGCCAAGGTCACCAAGCAGCGACCCACCCTGGACATCAGCAGGCCACCCTCCCTGGCTGCCACATGACAGAGCAAGTTTGGGGAGGGGCTCTGGGCCTCGCTCTGATTTTCACTTTTGTGGGTTGAAGTTAGCCCCGACTCTGTTGTTGGAACACAGATCTGGGCCACTTTATTGGTATGTCACCTGCTGTGCCCCAGCACCTGCCGCCGTCCTCGCTGTGCTCTGACAATGCAGGTTCTGTGCACCTGAATCATAAGCTTGCTGTGATAATGCGCCCGTGAGGAGTCATCTATTCTGTTTTCACTTCAACATCTCTGCGAAGGAAAGACTGACAGTCGTGAAGATAAACTATTGTGGACTTCACATTTTGTGGCATGAAGATGATAAAAAACTGTACTAATTACGAGGTAAATTTTATCGGGAAATGCAGTTCTGTTTGAACTTGAGGACGGCCCCACAGAAAGCTCTTATTCTAGAGCGGTGTTAAAACACTTCAATCGTTGGAGCTTCTGAAGGCAGAAAATGGACAGCATTCCCTTAAAGGGGCAACAGACCAATACAGACATGCAGAAGCTGCTGCCTGGGTCACGATTGTTTTAGGCTTTGTGAAAAATATATAAACGGCTTTATTTTATTCTGCACCTTGTCTCTGGGTGCCAAGGGGTTTCTCTGATCTACCGAGCATGATTGCAAATAACATTGTCGAGGGATTGCAGAATATTCTAACCCCATTTTTTTTTACACGAGTTTGACGTTTTCTCATAGATTAGGGCTCATTTAAATAAATTGGTTTGAGTTGGGTTTCCATGCTTAATTATAATTATTGTACATAACTGAGCATTTCAATATAATACACCAGTTTATCAGGCTTATATTCATATTCGAAGAAAACTGGTATTTTTGAAAAGAAATAGGAAGATAATTTCCTTTAAGATGAATGTGACTAAGTTTTCCTATCTGTGAGGTCTGTTGCAGGTTTCGAAGAAGTTTGAGAATCACAGATTTTTGTTATTGCCTAGACTGACTGGGGCTAGAAAGGGGGAGGGCAGCAGGGGGATGAGGAGGGGCTGTTCTGTTTCACACACCCCTCCCAGTGTGAACTATAAACGAAGCTTCCTTAGCGCCTGGTCCCCGTCCCCCACCTGTGGCTGTAACAAAGTGCCACAAGCCAGGTGGTCAATGACAGCACGAA